CAGTTAGTTTAGCACAGTACACGTAGCTTAGGGTGACCATACGTGCCATTTTCCCATCGCAAAGGCTACTATGGATTTCTATATTGCCTAAAATATCAAGGTTTTGGCTTTGTTTGCGTGTGCAGACCGATCAGTGTATGACATGAAAGTACCATACAGACGGTTATGCTTTCGAAACGCTCTCGAGGTACTTTGATGTCAAACACTGATCGGTCGGAGCCGCACTGCTTTTAAGTCGAACACACCTAATATGTACACGTAATTGCATCACTTTGACCGTAGATCCCACCTTCTCACACGCCATGATTGGTCCTTTATGTACAATGCTTGCATGTTATTAGTCAAACTACTTTTCGATCATTACCTTCAGCAAGCATGAAAACAGGAAAACAAAGCCAAAACAAATCCTGGCCAGGACGCGTCCTGGGAAAATGGCATGTATGGTCACCCTAACGTAGCTAGGGTTTTTTTTATTTTTTATAATAGAATGGAATAGAACAGAAAATAATAGAATAGGTAAGTGCTAGTATTAGTTGGTCAGGTGCTGGTGAAAAAGATGCATCTTTAGATGTTTTTTGAAAGTGGCTAAGTGACTCAGCTGTTCGAATTGAGATCGGGAGGTCATTCCACTAGTTGGGAACAGTCCAGGAAAAGATCCGTGAAAGTGATTTTGTGCCTCTTTGGGATGGCACCACAAGGCGTTGTTCACTTGCAGAACGCAAGCTTCTGGAGGGCGCATAATTTGAACTAGCGAGTTTAGGTATATTGGCGCAGCGCCAGTGGTTGTCTTGTAGGCAAGCATCAGTACCTTGAATTTGATGTGTGTGGCTACTAGTAGTAACCTGATGAGGAGAGGAGTACCACTCTCGCTGCTGCATTCTGGATCAGTTGCAGAGGCTTGATAGAACATGCGGGAAGGCCCGACAAGAGAGCATTACAATAGTCCAGTCTGGAGAGAACAAGAGCTTGGACAAGAAGTTGTGCGGCTTGGTCTGACAGGAAGGGTCTAGTCTTCCTAATGTTGTATAAGGCAAATCTGCAAGACCGGGCCGTTGTAGCAATATGGTCTGTGAAGCTTAACTGATCATCGATCACAACTCCTAGGTTTCTGGCTGTCCTGGAAGGAGTTGTGATGAAACGATGGGTTTGCTGGAACCACAAGTAGTTCTGTCTTAGAAAGGTTGAGCTGAAGGTGATGGTCCTTCATCCAGCTAGAAAAGTCTCTCAGACAGGCTGCAATGCGAGCAGCTACCGTCGAATCATCTGGTTGGAATGAGAAGTAGAGTTTAGTGTCATCAGCATAGCAGTCATAAGAAAATCCATGCTTCTGAATGACAGATCATAATGATGACATGTAGATGGAGAAGAGAAGTAGTCCAAGCACTGAGCCTTGAGGAACCCCAGTAGCAAGAAGTTGTGACTTAGAAACCTCACCCCTCCAAGACACCCTGAAGGACCTACCTGAGAGGTAGGACTTGAACCACAGGAGTGCGGTTCCTAAGATGCCCATTGGGCTTACCCAAGCCTGCTTAAATGCTTGGTACAATGGGAAATGTACCAGTGTGAAGAGAGGTGTTAATAATGTGAGTAAGCGAAGGTATGACTGAAGAAGAAATGGCCTGAAGGAGGTGAGTGGGGAGTAGTAGGATGATTGGAAAGGATAAGTTTGGAAACGTCCGTCTCCGAGAGTCAGTTTGTGGTGTGAGGAAATGGTCACTGATGGTTCTTGTTTTATTTGTGAAGAAAATTGCAAAGTCATCAGCTGTAAGAGTTGAAGAAGGAGGAGGGGGAGGAGGACAGAGAAGAGAAGAGAAAGTTTTGAAAAGTGTGCGAGAGTCAGAACAGTTGTTTATTTTGTTGTGGTAGTATGTCGTTTTAGCAGTGAAGACATTTGCAGAGAAGGAAGAGAGAAGTGATTGATACACACTGAGGTCGGTAGAGCTTTTTGATTTGCGTAATTTCCTCTCTGCAGCCCTGACTTTAGAGCGATGTTCAAGGAGAACATCGGATAGCCAGGGGGCAGAGGGGGTAGTGCGTGCTGGTCTGGATGAAAGTGGGCAAAAGTTGTCTAAGCAAGATTTTAGAGTGGAGCAAAGAGTGTCAGTAGCACTGTTTGTGTCCAGTGGTGAGAGGGTGAAGGAAGTGAGAATGAAACCATAGAGGATAGGCGAGAGGGAGAGAGTGAGCGTAGGTTACATCGAAAGGTGACCTGCGGAGGAGTTTGTGCTGTGTCAGGAGTTAGTGTGAGGTTAGAAGTGATGAGGAAGTGGTCTGAGGTGTGCAGTGGAGTAACTAAAGTGTTGTCAGTGGAGCAAAAGCGTGTGTAGATGAGGTCAGTTGGTTACCTGATTTGTGAGTAGCCATAGTAGACACTCGCTTGAGATCAAATGAAGCGAGCAGAGTGTTGTCAGCAGCCTGGGTTTTTTCTAGGTGGATGTTGAAGTCACCGAGCAGTACCAGAGGAGTATCATCCTCAGGAAAGTTTGATAGTAACACATCCAACTCCTCCAAGAAGTTTCCCAGTTGACCTGGGGGACGATAAACGACTACAAAGTGGATTTTAACAGGGTGTTAAAATACAAATTTCCATTCATTTAAGATAAGGAGACCAGTACCTCCACCCCTCCCAATCGTGCGAGGGGTGTGGGAAAAAGTGAAATTAGTGTAGAGGGCTGCAGGAGTGGCAGTGTCCTCAGGTTTGATCCAAGTCTCAGTTAGGGCCATGAGGTTGAGACCGGAATGAGTAGCAATAGAAGAAATCAATTCTGCTTTGTTAACAGGAGACTGGCAGTTCCAGAGACCAATTGGAATAGAGAGTAAAGTAATAGAGGACAGAGGGACAGGCCGTGGATTATTAGGATTGGCCTGCCTCCAGCGTACAGTGCGTGCTTTCCTAGTGTTAGTAGTAATAGTAGAGATTTGAAAGCACATAGTGAGTACAATTGTCCTAAACAAGTATATGAGAACAAGCTGTACAAAAAGTAAAGAAAGGGGAGAAAAGCAATACTCGAGTCCTTGCTCGGTGGAGTCGCGCAGGTAGAGTCGATGATCTTTATACAAACAATAACCTCACCAAAGTTAAAGCTTATTCCCTATTTCCATTACCACTCTCCCGGTCTCTACACACCTCTTTGGTTTCAAACCCAGTCATCTGCTGGAGCCTGGAAAAAACAACATTTCAGGAAATAAACCAATAAGAATAAAGATCAGGGGCTAAAGTGATCTAAAGATATATTTTTCGTCACATGGAGCCCGGGACAGATCACATTGTCCCTGCCCTTCAAATGATGAATCTCCAGAGCATAAGGCTCTAAAAAGAGAGACCACCTAATAAGATGTTGGTTGGGATTCTGCAAAGAATTAAGAAATATAAGAGGGTTATGGTCAGTATATACCACTAATGGCATAGTCCCAGCAGACAAATAGACCTCAAAATGCTCAAATCAACGCTAGAGCCTCCTTCTCAATAATAAAGTAATTAAACTGACATGAGTTGAACTTCCGTGAGAAATAACGAATAGGGCTTTGCTCGCAACAAATCAGTCAAAGGGGCCACAACGAAAGAAAAATTTGGGCAAAAACTCCTATAGTACCCAGTCATTCCCAAAAATCTCATCAATTCACATTTAGTTTGGGGTGTTGGAAAGTTATCAATAGCTGTAACTTTAGCACACACAGGTCGCAACTTTCCCATACCTACAACCTTGCCCAAATAGGTCACAGTAGCTTTGGCAAACTCACATATTGAGCCTCAGGCGAATGTTGTTCTTCTTCTTTGATGTTTTAGGGTTGTCAAACCCACTTTTGGTGCCATGCAGACAGTTCATTTAAACTGGTTAATTTCACTAGTTCGTTCACGTAATCATGCAATGACGTATGTATACAAAATTATATTATGAAATAAACTGCTAACGGGAACAAAGGAAACAGGAACTGTAGACTCAGGAAAATAGGAACAAACTAATTAAAAGTTCATAAAAATGAAACTGAAACTAAACCTAACTGTTCATTCATTCAAGTTACTTTAAATTTTCATGAAATTATAATATAAAGTGATACAGTTTTTAGATATCTTACAAAAATACCAATAATTCATTAGAAATATTAACATATATTCCTCACATAATTATTAAATGCATTCAAAACAAATAGCTAGTTTGCATTTGCTATAAACCGCATGTGTATAAAACATGTTTAATGAGTGTTTCATTCTGCAAACTGTTCTTTACGTCTTTTTATGCCTCTGGATCTTCTAGACTGCTGATGATGGAGCTTGTTCCACATTCAAGTAAGTTGTATTCATCACATCTTTGAAGCCACTTCAACACCTTCTCATTTGAATCTGTGACTATGAAAATGTGAGGGTTAGAAAATGTGTTCTCTGACAAGAAAATACATTTCAAGACATATAATCATTTTACATTATATAAAAATTAAGAAAAAAATGCAAGCAATTCAAGCAATGAAAATCCAGATCAAGAAAACATGTATTCTTAAAAAGCTAAATAACTCACCAGATGATGCTTCAGGATTCTGAATGTTCAAGAGTGCATTCATTAAAATTACTTCCCATCTGCTCCCTTCTCTCCTGATCTTCTCCATGAGATTCTCATCAGCTGAGACTGAAAGAGGAAAGAGTGCACAGGGAGTGCTCAGATACTTCCTAAAACATTAACATTTAAAATATACATTGAGAGTTAAATTAATTGCTCAATTAGAATATAGGTTGTTCTTAGGTTGTTTTTGCATGGCAGAAAAAAAATCTATGAATAGCCAATCAATACACAGGTAAAAAGCCTAATTAGCTGTGTAACGATGAAACTGATGGGCTGTAATAGGGGTGTATTGTGCTTGGTTCTAATTGTTGTTTACAGCTATATTATCAGTATTGGACAGGAAATTGCAAGTCATTTTAATAATGACTTACAGCCTGGAGGGTCTGACATGCTTCTGTGACTTTGGGCCTCTATACATCCAGTGAAATCCTTTCGTTTACTTTTGATCCCATTAATCCTGTTGTGAAACTCTTGCTGTAGTAATTGCAGCACATGGTCAGCATCCAGACTTATTTCCTCATCTTGTTGTGTGTCAGTCTCATTAATGTTTTTTTCTGAAGCACACTGAGTATTGAAGCAGAACAGACTGTTTTCTGCCACCATCTCGTCAATCTTCTGGAGCAACTCTGTGACTTGATCTGGGTTATTCTTGTTTGAGTTGTCAAAGACGTGACATCTGTTCCTGCATTTCTCAACCAGCCACTGGAGGGCGTCACCTTCACTCTCAATGTGCTGCTCGATTGAGATGTCTGGAAATCTGTCGCCCCATGTGAACAGAGCTATAGTGTGTCTCCAGATGTCTTCTCCAAGAGTGGCCATGTACTCTTTAATGATTCTTTTTTGTTCATTCTTGAATGAAGTATCAATAGGAATCACTAGGATCATGGCGTGAGGGAACTGCATTTGTTGCGATTGGCCTACACTCTCCAGGATTCCAGCCTGTGCAAATTCTGGGTTGAATTGAGAGGAGAAATACTTCCACCAGCCTGGAGTGTCTAACACAGTTATTGTTCTGCCATTAACAACACCAGTATGGCTTGTACACTTTTGCGTTCTTCCTATCTGAAATAATTCATGATTGAAGATGGTGTTTCCAGTTGAACTCTTCCCAGACACAATCCAACCCAGCAGAACAATTCTCAGTTCTGAGAGCGGAGCCACAGCTTCTTCAAGAAAAAAACAAATTAAAAATTACAAATAAATTTCAAGGTATTTGCATGTTTGCAATTTACACTACCAGTCAGAGGTTTGGACACATTTAATAATTCTTTATTATGACAGTTATAATCATTGGTGTCGGAACCCTTGACCCACCCACCTTTTAACCCCTTCAGACCTGCATTTTTTTCACTGAACAAAATTGTTTTTATCCACTTGATATTTGCTATTCTCCAATATAGAAATAAGTCTTTGTGGTTTGTGCCAACTCATTTTTTTATTAGATTTTTCATGTCCACTATAATGGACACCAGAACTGAAGAAAAATAAAAATCCCCATATTTTAACCATACATAATGAGTAGAGCCTGTGCACTATAGTTGAACTGGTGTTTAAGATTGTGAATAGAACACATACTATAAGAATGAACAATGCAGTAAAAATGTGGCGGGATAAAAGGTAAGATGATATGAAGTCAAAAAAAAAAACGTTTGATCCTTTTTGTTGGTGAAGTGGGTGAATCTTAGTATATGTATAAATGTCTGTGTGTGTATGTGAATGGGTTTATGTGTACTTGCTGATCGTTTTGATGAATATAATATTGTGTGCATTATAGCATCAAGGCATCAGTGTGTGTGTGGGGGGGTGTGAGTGTGTGTGTGTGTGTTGCTGTGTATTCACTGATCTCACATCCACTATGGCTGTTTCTCACTAAAACCAATGTAAATTTGATTGACAGGCTATGGTCACTTTGATGACATAAATGAAATAATATTAATATTAATATCATTAATTAAAGGTGCAGTAGGAGATCTTGGAAAATGCTAACTTTAGCCTGATAGCACTGAAAGCGATCGTCCCACCCTCCCTGCAATCGCCGTCCAAAGCCACGCCCCCTGAACGCATAAACGCTCACAGACCAGAATCCCAGAGACAACATTGCTACAATAGGCTACATCAGCGGTTCCCAATTCCAGCCCATGTTCCGAAGTGAAGTAAACCCCTGCTCAGGGATTAGGGAGCAATGAACACGGTGTAGGGATCATATAGATCGGAACACAGTTCATGCACGTAGCTCACTTCTAACGAGTTGGTTATCTGAATCGGGTGTGTTAACTAAGCGAGACATGCAAAATATGTGCGCGAGGACTGGAATTGGGATCCGCTGGGCTACATCATGTGTCATTCACCGGCGAGAAAACTTTAAAAGTACTACAATAACAGGAAGGAAGATCAGGTTGTTGATGTTTGTCTGCCATTCTGGCTCTGTCTGCACAGCGTGCATGAACGCGCTGATGATGTATCCTGTCTGTGCGAACCGGGTGCGCAGAGGTATGCTAATACATACGTTGACAGGCAGGTAGGAAAGCCAATTAAAATGCTCGGACCGAGCGTTTTGATTGGACCAACATTTCTTTCTCCTACGCCTTTCACAGAAAATATAAATACAGATAAATACATTTAGACCACTTCACTTAAAGGGGTCATATGATGTTGCTAAAAAGAACATTATTTTGTGTATTTGGTGTAATGAAATGTGTTTATGCGGTTTAAAGTTAAAAAACACATTATTTTCCACATACTGTACATTATTGTTTCTCCTCTATGCCCCGCCTTTTTGAAACGCGTCGATTTTTACAAAGCTCATCGGTCTAAAAAGCGAGGTGTGCTGTGATTGGCCAGCTATTCAGTGTGTTGTGATTGGCCGAATACCTCAAGCGTGAGACGGAAATGTTACGCCCCTTACATACTGTGATGCCCTATCCGGCCGGAGCGACGAGACATAAACATGAAAACCCATTATAAACGAGGCATTTGTTGCATCCAGTGGGGACATAATTACTGATTATAATGACTTATACTGTCTTTTTACGCGTAGCAAGGACCTTTTTAACACGGGACTAAGACTAAAGTGAAAATAGCTGTCAAAATTAACACTAGATTAATTAAAAGACACCAGAATACAGGAAATGGCATCTATTCCAGTAAAGTTTTTCTGGGGGAGGAGGACCCACCCACATTTTTTTTGCTTCCGACGCCATGGTTCTAATAAAGAACAAATAAATGTGTCCAACCTCCAAATTTTAGAATAACAGCATGAAAACTCTGAAGAAACACAAACGGAAGTATGGGAATGATATAGTAATCAAAACATGTGACACACTTTGTTCAGACTGTCAGCCCAAATCCGATTTTTGTACATATCCGATTGGAATCCCATCAGCATTTAGCATGTGTGAACAGCAAAAAAATAAAATAAAATCACATGAAATCCAATTTTTACAAATCCATTTCAAGCTACATTCGTAAGTGGTTTGAAATCCTATTCAAATCGCATTTCTGGAAATCTATTTCAGTCTGACCGCTCAGATCGGATTTAGCGTAGCTTTTTCACATTCTCATGCCACATAAAAAGTCAACATGTCGACATTGTTTGTAGAAAACATGAAAAAAGTGCTTGCACAAACAAGGTTGTGTTGTTGCGAAGTGCAAGTCAAGTGGAAATTAATGGCCGTTTCTCATTACCAAGTATGCAAAGTTCAGACTTCGTCCTTGGTTGTTCGGACTTGGCAAGTTTGACTCGGGAGTGCGAGTCAAGTCAAGTCAAGCAGAGTTTAACTCTAAAAATGTGGTTCTGCCGACATCGAGCAGAAACTCACAACTATATGCGCGCTTAGAATCAAATAGACGCGACGAATGCGTACAAAAACACTGCGACTCACAAGACAAAAAACACGAAAACGCCTTTCTGTCGGGAGAGAGAGAAGCCGCAGCGTGTGAACGCGCCGCCATCTTGGATTTCATCGTCTAACATCTACTCCAGTTATCCTCAATGTATATTTACAATAAGACTAAATATTAAAACCAGGTGGATGCTGCACACTGGTGGTGGATGAGGAGATACCCCCTGACAATGTAAAGCGCTTTGAGTGCCTAGAAAAGCACTATATAAATGTAATGAATTATTATTATTATTATTATTATTAAATATGATATCAAACACCACTGCATCTTTTCGTTGTCATTTAAACATATTAATAGCCACAAAAATAAAAACACGAAAACACCTTTCTGTCGGGAGAGAGAGAAGCCGCAGCGTGTGAACGCGCCGCCATCTTGGATTTCATCGTCTAACATCTACTCCAGTTATCCTCAATGTATATTTACAATAAGACTAAATATTAAAACCAGGTGGATGCTGCACACTGGTGGTGGATGAGGAGATACCCCCTGACAATGTAAAGCGCTTTGAGTGCCTAGAAAAGCACTATATAAATGTAATGAATTATTATTATTATTATTATTAAATATGATATCAAACACCACTGCATCTTTTCGTTGTCATTTAAACATATTAATAACCACAAAAATGTAGTTCAGGCAACGCAGACATACCTTGATTATCTTCACTCACTGTATGTATACTTATAACAAAACTAAATATAAAACACAACTACATAAAATATAAAACACACACATTAATATGTGGTTCAGGCATGTGCATATATACTCTGATTATCTTCACTGTATGTATAAATGTATGACATAAAACACTACGATGCCTCTTTTTGTTAAATGTCAGTTTTATTGAATAATAATAGCCATTAAACATGTGTAAGTATGAAATATAAGAGGCTTATATACAATAGGAAATAAAGACAAAAGCAAACAATTCAGTCAAACGTATGCGCTGTACGATGGTAAAGATAAATATATAAAGTTATGAAACTAAACTTTTTGCTTAGCCAAAACGATATGACCAGGAACAAATAATAGATTCATGGGAGCAAAGATTGCCTGTTAGATATACCTCAAATGAATTATATCTCATGTTTAACCACTACAGACACATCAGAGCCAGCGGCAAATGTCAGAAAGACTAGCCGAGGTAAGGCTGTTCTCAGCGGGATATATGTGAGCTGAGCGCCCGGTGATCGCCTGGAGCTCACATCTCCGAAATCGGCAAAGCAAATTTTCAAATAGGCGCTCTCTTTATAAATAAACCGCAGATTTGAGTTTAAAAAATTACATTCTCGCCTGAAAACTCTTAAAAGTAAATTTCATGACATAATAGCAATAATATTTTGAAAATTACGTGGGTTTTCTCCTCTGCCATTAATGCTCGCTGGTTGGTGCAAAATGCATTGTGGGATAACTGGCTGCCTCAAGTTCGCACAAGTCACCTCTTGATGCATCCTCGATAAAAGGGGCGGAGCAAGAACACATCCAGGGATTTGAACTGTACTTAGATATGAACTTTGAATTGGAATAGTAGCCTACTTGGGCAACGACTGATGACGTTTCACAAATCCACAAGAACGCAAGCATATTGAGAAACGGCTAATATAGTTCTGGTCTACACACCTCTTTGAGTTTTGAGACCGACGGAGAGACGGCAGCACAGGAATAAAGCTGCACATTCCAGCTTCCTACATTTCTGCCGCTGCCTCATAAAACGTATTATTATCCCTTATATAATCGCCATGGCAACATGTCATCATGTTGTAAGACAACATCTGTATTGCAAATTGTATTGCTGTTATTGTTTTTTTTAGTGTAGGCATACCAACATAACGTCACTGCCATAGAAACCAATGCAGATATTCAGTAAAACGAAAAAGCACTACGGGACACACAAATCAGAATTGAACAGTTGTGTGGACAGTCAATCATTGGCCACGTACACACTGCAAGACTCAGGAGTGACAACCGCATTTAAATGTGGGAGTGAGTCCCGTAAATTATCATTACGTGTGTACGGAACACGACTCACTCCCGAAACTGCTATGAATGGCAGCGTGGTAACCATAGCAATGTGGTGGCGTCTCGGAGAGAATGGAGGCCCGCAGATTATCTAGTTTTGTGTTAGCTGCTGTTGACAAAACAAATATTAGACTGCAAAGACATGCGAAAATCCACAAAATGTTATTAAATCACCGTCGGGAGAGGCGTCATAATCTAGTTTTGTTCTTTAAACTGTTGTTATTGAACAGCCGACACTCTCTTGACCGCAAATGCTCGGTCCACTACATCTACACAATACATTGGCATGCTTCTCGTGTCATCATCATTATCAACTAGTTGTTCAGTTCGGTTCCGTACACACTGCATAGAATTTCAGTAAATTCGGTTGTCACTACCTATATTCTTCGGTTGTTAATGTGGTTGTTAAATGCGGTTGTCACTCCCATATTTTAGAGAATTATGTGTGTACAGAATGCGATTAAGGAGTAAAAGATGAACTGATAACCGAATTTAGCTGTAGTGTGTACGTGGCCATTTAGATCTGATTCCAATCGGATATGAACAAAAATCAGATTTGGACTGACAGTCTGAACAAGGCTTTATATTTGAGCTTCACTTTCAAAACCATCCATCTCTGAACATTCATGAATTAACATAAATTCAGTCCAAACATTTGTCTGGTAGTAAACATATCTGTACGACTTACTTATTTCTTTCAGTAGGTCTCTTTTGCCCTGAACTGTTTCTTGTCTGGCTTTTGCTCGTCTTTCATTTTCATCCCTCTTTCTCTTCATGTCATGCAGCATGTCATCATGTGTTTCAAAATGCTTGCCATTGTTCGATGCCAAAATATCATCAATCTTGTCAAGTAGTTCTTTGACTCCATCACTTTTGTTTTTGAAATCAAAGGCATGATATCTTTCTCCACATCTCTGTATGATCAGCAGAAGATCTTTGTCCTTCGGTGAATCGTTTTGTGTAAGCAACACTATGGTGTGTCTCCAAATTTTCTCACCGAAGAGACCAAGGTGCTGCTCAATGGTGAGTCTGTTTTCTTCAGTAAAAGGCAAACTGAGATTAATGACCAGTAGAAAGACGTGAGGTCCTGGTGGACACAGGAAAACACTGCAAACCAGCTCTTGTTTAACAACCTCTGGTGAGTCTTGCAAACCAAAATTCTCCCACCAACATGCAGTGTTGATCAGAGTTATCTTCCTTCCATTCACTTCACCGTCTTTCCTCACAGATTTCACAAATAATTTGTCAGACTCAACTTCAACACCTAAAATGCTGTTTATCACTGAGGCTTTGTCAGATTTCTGCCACCCAAGAACAACAACTCTTATTTCTGTCAGAAAAAAACATGAGGAAATTGGAAATCAAACTACAACATCCTTTTTAAATGTTACCATGTAATTATTTTAATGAAGCAAAGTCTGATGATGTAATTTAGCAAATAAATAGTACAATATTTGACAAATTATTCTATGTGGTTTGAAATACAATTAAAATCAGATTTTTGGAAATGTAGTTAAACCAACTGGATTTCAAGTTGTTTTTCTGTTATTCTGGGCATGACATGCATGTAACTGACTCAAAGTTGCAGTGGTACACAAGATAAATTGTCCTGTAGGCCTATTCTATTATGTTTAAAATAGAGAATGTATTTATATTGATCAAAAGTAAAAGACATTTACCATCTTACCAAACTGAACCTTACCTTGTTCCATCTTGCTTGCTTTCTTATGCATTGTAATCATAGAAAATGTTGACAAACACAGTTAATGCTGCTTTCACATGCTATCAGAAAATTCCTACTTCCCACTTTTGAAGTTGCAATTACAAGTTCATCACATTCAACTGTTTTGCTGACACTGCAGTCAAATACGCAGGCGCAAGGGGGTGGGGGGGGGTCATCTTCAATGGTTTACAAAATCCCTTTTTCTCACATATTGTACTCTGGCGAAGGTATATTGATGATATTTTTTTGTTATGGTCAGGTACTGAAAATCAGTTGCTACAATTTCATAGTTTTTTTAATACAAGTGATGAACACTTACGTTTTACAGTTAATTGTGATGATTCATGTGTATTCGTTTTTTGGACATTCGTGTTATTAGGGATGACAAAACAAATAATCAAAGATCTTTAAAGAAAACCCACTGACCGTAACACACTTTTGCATGGACAGAGCTACCATCCTACAACTTTGAAACGTAGCTTGCCTATTAGTCAATTTAATCGGATACGTCAAATTTGTAGTACTGAAGAGTCATATAAACAACAAAGTACTGATTTGATTAACAGATTTAGGGAGAGAGGTTACAATGAAGATTGGATACAGTCTGCAGTTAGGAGATTTGAAAATGAAAATCAAGAGACATCTTTAAATAAAAAACGGTTAAAATCAGAAAATAAAACCATTGTATGTGCTGTTCAATATTGTCTTATTTGCTCAGATATATAAAAAAAAGAAAAAAAGATCATAGACAAACATTGGTATATTTTAAAATCCGACCCGATTTTAAAATCAAGGGTGCCATCACTTGTACCACTAAAAATTGTATTTATATGATCAAATGTCCATGTGGGTTATTGTATATAAGAAAAACACAACGTGCTTTAAAAACTAGGATTGCAGAACATCCAAGCAGTATAAACACAAATTATAAAAAAAAAATTGAAAGCAGTACAAAATGCCTTTTTTTAACTTAAAAAAGCATAACCTTTCCACAGTTAGGTATATTGGAATTGAACATAATAAATTACCTAGGAGAAGTGGTGATGTTAACAACATTTTATTAAAAAGAGAAGCTTAATATATTTATACACTTAATGCTTTTTTTCCCCAAGGGTATGAATTTAAAACTTGATCTTAACTCATTTTTCTAATTGGTATTTTTTGTTTTGAAATGTGAATGTTGTTAATGCAAATATTATGGGTACTATGTGTACCCAAATATGTGTGTTGTATAGCTAGGTGATTGCTTCTAGGACAAGTAATTGTAAATTATAAAAAGGATGGGGGACTGGTTGGGTGTTGTCTTATGGTTGTTTGGGGATTTTTGAAAGTTTTTGGATATTGTGTTTGTATTTAAACGTTGCTTCAATGTGGTTGTCTTGTTTTAATTGTGGTATGCTACAACTGTTCACATGATTGACTTTGATTGCTAACAGGTGTAATCAATTGGAACTGTGTTTGAATCTGAGTAGCCTACTTACTGAGCTGTTGCCTTTGTACGTATGTGTGTGTGTGTGTGGGTGCCTGACGAAGGTCTTTGACCGAAACATTACCACTTTTAACTTTTTCTAAATAAAGGGAGAATAACAGTGAGCAGATCTTTTTTGCATTATTTCATAAACATAAAACAAGATGACATAAAACTAATACACGTCTAAGACTTAATCACCTGAGGAATTAAAAGCCATCGTTAATAAATGGGCTTTTAACCTAAATTTAAAACTAGAAATGGTCTGAGCGGTTCTGATACAAAGGGGCAACGAGTTCCAAAGCTTGGGGGGAGCTACTGAAAAAGCACGACCCCCTCTAAGTTTTAATCAAGATCTGGGAACCACTAAAACAGCGGTTCTCTATTCCAGTCCTCGCGCCCCCCAGCTTCACCATCCAGTCCCTGATGTTATATAAGCAGTTCGGAAGAGAGATGATACCAGACCCATTGACTTTTTGAAGTGGCAGATAAATCTGCGTATCATCAGCATAACAATGAAACAAAACTCCATGTTTCCTGAATAAAGTTCCTAAAGGGAGTAAGTACAGTGAAAACAAAAGGGGACGAGAATAGTCCCTTGAGGGACCCCACACTTAAGTGGAGCTGACGTTGACATACTTTTGCTCAATTTCACCACAAACCTTCTATCCGCTAGATACGACCATTTAAGAGCTATACTAAAAATTCCAACATGGTTTTCCAACCGGGAAACCAAAATATTATGATTGATAGTATCAAAGGCTGCACTCAAGTCCAATAACATTAGGATTGACAAGACTCCAGAATCAGCATTTAATAATATATCATTTTGAACCCTTAAAAGTGCTGATTCTGTACTATGTTTTGACCTAAAACCAGATTGAAAAACTAAACCAAAACCAAAAGTGAATTATTTTCCAAGAATTAGGTCAACCAGAACTGGGAACACTTCCCATAACACCCGATGTACTTGTTACATTGTAGGAAGAATGGCATCTACGCTAATATTAGTCTGTTTCATTCTTATTCCGAGGCCACCGTAGCCATACAGATCCAGTCTGTGTCCAGATCAGATGGTGGATCAGCACCTAGAGTTGACCTCTACAAGCCTGAATGTCAGCGGAGAGCATGTCAACTAAATGCGCCCCAGAGACAGATCCCCTGCAAAGACCTCGTCACCTCAACGGCCATCGGCACAAGGCCACAGAAACCAGACGAGTCCTTTACACATTCTGACCTGTGTTGCAGCCTGGAATTAAACCATGCCATGCTGGTTTCATCTGGCCAGGGGAGAACCGGCCCCCAGACTGAGCTTGGTTTCTCCAAAGTTTTATTTATTTATTTATTTATTTTTGGTCACCGTTGGGAGTTTTGGTTCCTTGCCACTGCCGCCTTTGGTTTGCTTAGTTGGGGACGCTTAATTTCTGGCAATATTGATTGCACAGACACTATTGGAAAAGAACTGATCTAAGCTGGATGATGACATCACTGAATCAACAATAAACAATGATCAATGACTTTAACTGAAAAATTTACTGTTTACTATTGTCCTCTTGCATTATCGAACATTATTTTCCTGCTCAAAACTGTAAAGCTGCTTTGATACAATCTGTATTGTATAAAGTGCTATATAAATAAAGATGACTTGACTTATTATTCTTACATCAGTCAGCATGTCAAGACCTCGTACATGCTCATGCTGGGCTGGATTGGCCATCTGGACCATATCTGAAGATAATTTTGAGCATCTCAAGAACCTTTTTCCACTATAAAGAACCTTTTGTGGAATAGACAGATTACAAAAATCCCTATGGTATCCTTATTTTTAAAAGTGTAGTGTGTGTGCAGAAGTTTGTTTAGGATACTCATTCATGCTTAAAAGAGCTTGAGGATTTCCTGCACATAATGTGAAAGTGAAACAGTTGATCCAATGTTTGCATTCATTCCCAGACACAGTGTGTGGGTGTTTAGTCTTTCTGAGTCATTTGGGAATTTCCAGTGAATTACAGTCTAAATCAGTCATAAATACATTTACAATGCAATAAAAGTATATTAATATATCACAGCTACCTTTGGATGATACTAGTAAAGTTCTCTAATTTAAATAGCTAGATAGCTGAGTAAATGTCAGTTTTTTCGTACAATTCTCTTATTTATATTATGTCATAAAGCTATGCAGTTTCTGTGTGAATGATCAGTTGAGGAATTGACTGCGATGCAAGGGCCACCAGCTATAATCTTGCCTGGGGCACCAAACTGGTCAGGGCCTGCCCTGGTTACAACTCTCATCTTTCCAGGACTGATTTAACCTGTAATTTACTGGAAATCACCTAATGACTCAGAAAGATTAAACACCCACACACTAAGTCTGGGAATGAATGGAAACACTGAAGTGTCCATAAATGTGGATGAACTGTTTCACTTTCACATTCTGTGCAGTAAATCCTCAAGCACATCTAAGCGTGAAAGAGCATGTGAGATTCTAATCTACACCGCTACTTAAAAACTCCAAGCAGGAGGGCAATCATTGAGCTAGCACATAGCTATCCTCAGATTCATTCACTTCCCCCACCTACAATCCCTGCCACTACAGAGACTTGAACCTGCAACCTTTGGGTTACAAGTCAAACTCTTTATCCATTAGGCCACGACTGCCCATGTGAGGATAGCTGTATTAAATATTATATAAGTAGCTGTAAGGTCCACGCACTTGGCCCAAGGAAGGTATCCAGTGGTGGATGAAGGTCTCTTGCGTGTTCGGTCTTTTCAGCGCGCAGAGTTATTCAATTTAGGTTTAACTCAAGTCTGACTCCACTTTAGTATCTAATCTGGCTCCATTTTAGTATGACCTCCAATTTAGGTTGAAAGGCAAATTGGTTGTTTGTCGGTCTCTAATTATTCTGACATTTGATTATTCTAGTTAACTCTTTCCTTTGTATTTTCTTGTTCATTAAGAATCTATGTTATTTAGGATGCCTCACGGCGGCCGCTATGCGTGGGCTCCACGATCACAAAACTCGCCATTCTAATCTTTATTCAGAGGTTTGTGGCTAATACTATTTAATATACCTTAAATAGTAGATCTGTTTAGCCCCCTACAGTTACCCATGTAATACTCAAACATTAATCAGCGGTTCTTCTAGAACCCCTGTCAAGACCCCGACAGTTAATATAACAAAACGTACAACTTAATTAACTCTGAAATCATATACATGGTTAACGTAACTGAGTACAACTTAAACTAAGGTCCAGCGGTTAGTCAGAATCTCACCTGATGTGCCCATGCTATGCACGTAACCCTGGACGCAGTTTTGCGGAAAACATAAGCCTTCACTTATTCTTCTTGAGAAAATATGTTCAAGAAAAGTTAAGAATAAATCAAATATAACAATTTATTATTTGTCAGGTAAACTTGTATCATGCCAATTACATAATCAATTCAAAGATATCAAATCAATACAAGACATCAAATTCTAAAAGACAAATCTTAGAGTAAGATGCATACCTGTCCTTTAGAAAAATACATAGTGTGAAGTGTGTGGACACCCTTCACACTACGGGCTTTCTGGCTACAGAATCGCCCCGACCCTTTTGCTGCAATCCTTTAAATACAAAAACAAGATAAAAACATCCCCCAAGGAGGCATGTACAAACAATTGGTATCTGGGTGGCTAGTTTACACCTCAATGGGAAACAGAAGGTAATTTGCATGGAATGACCCTCTACGGTAATCGAAGTATCTCTTAACTCTTAGGATCTGTATTATCTTTTTTGTCTACTTTTGTAAGATTAAGACCATTGTACCACTCACCCTGAGACTATTCAAATGAAACCAAACATGACTGTAAATCTTATTTGCATCCATATAGAACATTATACTATTGACCATGCTGAGTGAATCCAGTGGAGGGAGCAGATGAAAAGGCACTGATGCATATGTGAGAGAGGCGTTTCCTGCACCACCCCTCTGTGGGGTGTCTTGAAGATGCCAGTGTATTTTCTGCTTCTCAGGAGATCAAAGTATTTGAGTTTCTTTTATCCTTACATAGCGATCTCTTTGAGCCCCTATCTAGAGGTTTTCTAGTTTGTCTCTTCAGTGGTCTTGTGTATCCAGGCTAGTATTGCTCACATAGCATAGCTATCTGAGGATAGCTGTGTTCCCCATAGCGCGCGCTACAGGACACAGCGTGAGTTCCCTAGAAGGGGAACGTCTCGGGTTACACGTGTAACCATGGTTTCCCAAGAGGGAACGAGACGCTGCGTCCCCTCGCCATGCCTTCGGCCTGTCTGTTTACATCTCCTTCAGACAACTAAGTTGGTGACGTATTTCAGACGTGTTCTTTTATACTTCTGGGCACCCGCCTATAACATCACAGGCCATGTGGACCTAAATGAAATGAAAACGTACTTACGTGAGTCAGAACTGCCGGCATTTTAGTCTAACGTTAAGCGTCTTCACGACATGGCGGCAGCGGCAACAACAATACTACAGCGAGAATAAAAGTTACGCCTTCTTTCTTTGCGTGAACATTTGGGCGGTGTTATGCAAATCTTCCCACATAGTGAGGTAGATATGTGGGGGCGTGTTAGAACGAGCCGTTTTAGGTAGGTGTGGCTGACTCTTAAATTTATAAAGAATATCTCTTTGGATTTGAGACTTTAGTCTTTGCAACTTTACAGATTTTCTTTATGCACCAAGAGCTTGTAACACTCCAAAGAGAAAGGAAAAAATGAAATTGCATCATATGACCCCTTTAATATATCACAGCTACCTTTGGATGATACTAGTAAAGTTCTCTAATTTAAATAGCTAGATAGCTGAGTAAATGTCAGTTTTTTCGTACAATTCTCTTATTTATATTATGTCATAAAGCTATGCAGTTTCTGTGTGAATGATCAGTTGAGGAATTGACTGCGATGCAAGGGCCACCAGCTATAATCTTGCCTGGGGCACCAAACTGGTCAGGGCCTGCCCTGGTTACAACTCTCATCTTTCCAGGACTGATTTAACCTGTAATTTACTGGAAATCACCTAATGACTCAGAAAGACACTGAGTTTGGGAATGAATGCAGACACTGAAGTGTCCATAAATGTGGATGAACTGTTTCACTTTTACATTCTGTGCAGTAAATCCTCAAGCACATCTAAGCGTGAAAGAGCATGTGAGATTCTAATCTACACCGCTACTTAAAAACTCCAAGCAGGAGGGCAATCATTGAGTTAGCACATAGCTATCCTCTGATTCACTCACTTCCCCCACCTACAATCCCTGCTACTACAGAGACTTGAACCTGCAACCTTTGGGTTACAAGTCAGACTCTTTATCCATTAGGCCACAAATGCCTATGTGAGGATGGGTGTATTAAGTAGCTGTATTAAGTATTATATAAGTAGCAATCTCTTTGAGCTCCTATCTAGAGGTTTTCTAGTTTGTCTCTTCAGTGGTCTTGTGTATCCAGGCTAGTATTGCTCACATAGCATAGCTATCTGAGGATAGCTGTGTTCCCCATAGCGCGCGCTACAGGACACAGCATGAGTTCCCTAGAAGGGGAACGTCTCGGGTTACACGTGTAACCATGGTTTCCCAAGAGGCTTTTTCTATTTGCATGTTTTTTCTTAAGTTGCAGCACATTGAGCTCTCTCGGCCACCGTATGATTCAGTGATGAAAACTAAATTCAATTCTTCTGCTCTAAAAAGACAATAGTGACAGTCATTATTCAGTGTCATGTTAAGCGTCATGTTCAGTTATGTGATTAGGCATGTATTAATTACCTTAGAATATTTATATGCAACATTTTACTAGCAAAACTTGAAGACAAAAACAGAAAGCTTAAAAAAGCTTTTTTAAAACGTCATACAGTTTTAAAGGGGTCATATGATGCAATTAAATTTTTTCCTTTCTCTTTGGAGTGTTACAAGCTCTTGGTGCATATAGAAGATCTGTAAAGTTGCAAAGACTAAAGTCTCAAATCCAAAGAGATATTCTTTATAAAAGTTACCTAAAACGGCTCGTTCTAACACGCACCCACATGTTCACGCAAAGAAAGAAGACACAGTACGGTGAGGGGCGTAACATTTCTGTCTCACGCTTGAGGTATTCGGCCAATCACAACGCACTGGACAGCTGGCCAATCACAGCACACCTCACTTTTCAGAACGATGAGCTTTGTAAAAATCGATGAGTTTCAGAAAGGCGGGGCATAGAGGAGAAACAATAATGTACAGTATGTGGAAACTCATGTGTTTTTTTAACTTTAAACCACATAAACACATTTCATTACACCAAATACACAACATAATGTTCTTTTTAGCAGCATCATATGACCCCTTTAATGCACAATTATTACTATTGTTGTTGAGCTATGGATACACAGAATTATATTTTAACAACATGAAAACTTTTTTTTTTTTATTCTACAATTGCTGAGACTTTTTCATTTAAAAACAAATGTTTGTATTTGGTTATGCCGGTGTGTTTACTTACATTCAGAGGTGGACAGTAACTAAGTACATCTACTTGAGTATTGTACTTAAGTACACTTTTTGAGTATCTGTACTTTACTAGAGTATTATTTTTTCTGGAAACTTATGACTTTAACTTTAACACTACATTTGAAAGACAATTATTGTACTTTTCACTCCACTACGTTTCTGTCAAGGTCCTCAAAGTAGAAAGTTGTTACCATGTAGCAGCTTTGAAAGTCAGTAGGTGATTTTTTTCTTCTCTAAAACGTGACTTTCCCAGCATTTTTTGAGCACTGACAAGTTCCAAATGTGATATTTATTTACAACAATACAATAATAAGAAGTTAATATTATGGTTTATATTGGACACAATATTGTCTGATTTTGCTAAATTGTGTAAGTGAAAATATTACCTATAAAGCCACAGAAGAACTGTTGTGCATCTCCTAATAAAACACAATAGGTGTTGGACTTGAAGCAGCACTGCACAGACTGTTCTGTGTGTGAACATCAAAGTACAACGAGAGCGATTAGACAGCATTTTTTAAATTTTTTGTTTTGATGTCAAATAAGTCTTGCTGTTTTGTTTTTGTGTTAAAGCAGTGTTGCTGTTGTAAAGTTATACAGCTACAGTTGTGTTGCTGAGTTTTAAAACAGGTTTGATTTTTTATTTTCTTCCTTATCACTCTGTATTTACAGGATTTCACTGTCCACTCTGTTCAAATGTGGATGAATGGCTACACACAGATGTGTCCAGAGCTGTGTGAGATCACTACCATCCTGCTTTTGTGGGGGTGGGTAGGGGTGTTAAATCATTATTATTATTTATTTATTTTTTCCCCATAGGTTTTTAACATTCTAAAAACTCTTTATTCCAAAGATACTACAAGCTAGTCAGTGTATTCAGTAGGTGTAATGTATTGTAAGTTGCTTCAGAGGTATTGCATTTGCAAGTATTACATACAACAATAATAAAACAGTGCATTGACATAAAAAAGGAAATTTACTTTTTGTACTTCAGTACTTTTAAAAGCAAGTACTTCTGTACTTTTACTTAAGTAAAAATCTGTCTTTACAACTTTTACTTGTAATGGAGTAATATTTGACAAGCTGTATCTGTACCTTCAGTGGAGTTTGTCCGCCTCTTCATTCATTTTGGGCGGGGTTTGAGTGGTTTTAAATGTTTCTGGGACCTGGCAATTTTGAAACTGATTAAAAGAAAGGTGCACGAAGAACTGAGACGCAGCTCCTGCGACGCTCCACCAAAGACCTTTTGAGAGTTGTAAACTTTGAAAATGTCTGCAAACCAACAATTAAGCTACCATGGAGATGACGACAGTGGTAAGTGCTTTGTAATAGATGGTCTGTATTTACTAACATTGAAAAACTCTACATTTTAATCGTATTTATGTATTCTGTTAATGTACAAAAAAAAAAAAAGGAAAATGTGCCAGTAAATTTCTGCCAGGTCCTCTGTTCATTTTACTTTCATTTACAATAAACGTAATGAACGAAGTGCACAATTCAAAATACAGGTAAAGCACCTGTTATTAGTACCATATGCATTATTTTTACTTTTATTTCTAAAATGTTTCATTTTCTAACTGGTATGTTTTATGTGTAAGGGAGAGCGTGCCACAATCTGATAGCCTACTTTGATTCAGTTTGTGTAACTGTATACTTTTTTCTTTATTCCCCCAAAAGTCTTTGTCCTGTAGGATGAAATACAAATATACAATAGGTCTATACAAAGCAAACTAAAAAATATTTTGCCAATTAAACCTTTTTCATACAAAATAACAGCTTTTTTTTTTAATAATTAAAAATTACCTTATTTTGAAATTTGACAATGAATACACCAAAACACAACTACATAGTTCAAAGTATCAAAACAACTCGTCTTCCCTCCTTTGCTTCCCCGCGGAACCAGAACGAATTCGAAAGCGAGCTGTTGTAAGTTTTCAATAAACAAAGTTTGCAAGGGCTCATGCAATTAATTACATAAAAATGTAATAATCGACTGACAGCCCATATATATATATACACACACAGACATATATATGTATGTATGTATATATGTGTATAATTATTTTATTTACTAGTTTAATGTGCCAATTACAAACAGTGCTTGAAGGGAATAGAATTAGAAAAACACAAAGCAGTAGAATTTCCATAATGCAGTTAAAGTGTTAATAAGATGGGCAGTGTTGTCAAAATCACTCCAAAAGCTCCACGAAAATATGTTCTGATACACAAGCATAAGAGTTTAGGAAGTTTCTAAGAGGCAGTAGTGACCTAATGGTTAGAGAGTCTGACTTGTAACCCAAAGGTCGCAGGTTCGAGTCTCAGTCCCTCAATGCCACAACTGAGATGAGACCTTTAAGCAAGGCACCAGGCGCCACAGCAAAAACGGCTGACCACTGCTCTGTGTGTGTTCACTACTCACTGCTGTGTGTGCACTTGGATGGGTGAAATGCAGAGCACAAATTCTGTGTATGGGACACCATGCTTGGCCACATGTCACAACCTTTTCCTCCTTTTCTTTTGAACACTCAGTGTTGAGGAATGTATAGAAAAACTAAATCTCAGACTAAATCACACCAAGTACAGAACTTGCAAGGTTGATTAAAACCAACTTGTCACATACACAAGGTTCTTCAGTGTGAAATGTCAGCTATAATGATGACACTAACTCTATCAAATAAAGCTTATTTTGTCGGTATATATTTGCACTGCGTAATAGATCATTTTATTTGCAGATGGAGAATCTGATGTACTTCATACCACACGGCTGCATGAAGGACAACCCGATGTAGATTTCACTTTGTCAAGTGAAATTAATAAGAAATTATTAAAAAAGAAAACATGGATAAAAAATGATACTACAAAAAAGCCAAGTGTGCAACTCGCATCAGCTAATGTTTCAGTAAGCAATGTCATAAATATGATTGACACAGCTGACAGACCAGCAGATGCCAATGCAGAGGGCACCTATGCTCGAAGTGGAACATATGCTGTAAGTCCTGAAAATGAACCAGGAAAGAGGATTCCCAGGGCTGGAGCCTTCGCAGAAGCAGGAGTTGGACGAGCTCGTGCTGAATACAGTGTATTTGAGGCAGAAGCCAAAGGCCCAAATGCCTCAGCTGGTGCTGAAGCCAGTGTGGCTGGAGCTGGAGCAATGGCTCGAGCTGAAATTGCCAGTGCATCAGCTCAAGCCGGTCCACTTGGTGTGAAAGTGGGACTTGGAGTTGACACGGGTGCATCTGTTGGTGTGGATGGGTTGGAGGTCAAATTCCTGGGAACCGGATTCTCAGTTGGACCAAAAACCAGTATATCTCTTCTGGGTTCAGAAGTGTCATGTTCAGTCATGTAATCGGACAGGTATTAATTATCTTTGAATATTCATATGTAACATTTTACTACCAGACTGTAAGGACAAAAAGTTTTTTTTTACTTTAACCAGTTTCAGAGCAGAATTAGTATTGCTGTAGAGCTATAAATACACAGAATTATACTTTAACAATATGAAAACAATGTTTTATTTTAGATTTTGTAATTCTACAATTGTTGAGATGGTTGTTTTATTGAAGAATAAATATCTGTATTTGGTTATGCAGGTTTGTTTAATTAGATTACGCCAGCAGCAGTTTGGATCCAACAATTGCGAAGATATCAGGGCGACACCAAAAATTGCAAAGACTTCAGCTGATGCCAACCTTGGATCAACATACAAAATTGCCAAATATTATCCTTATATTGTAATCATTACAAACACAAGCTGTAACTGTTGTCTAACATGTTTGTTGTACTTAGCTGAATACTAATCTTAACTAATATAATGTGTTATATTATATTACAGCTATATGGACATTACTTTGATAGTTCATCTGTGGCTTATTACAGAATACTTTCTAGTTTTAACATTGAAACAAGAATTATCTGTAAAGCTGCTTAGAAGCAATATGTATTGTGAAAAGTGCTATTCAAATAAACCTGAATCGAATGTTTATTGCTTTTCTCTGCAATACTGTCATTCCCAGTGTAACTGTGTTCACAGATCTTTCTGGAGACTTTTAATATCAGTCCTTTTCTATTTATACAATACTAATCTAAAAAAAACAAATCTGCAGTTCTTTTGATCAAACAATATGAAAGCAGCTGTGTTTGTCTCTCTATGAATTTCCAAAAGATCTGAATAAGTGGCCAATTCAATCTAAAGGTCATTTAACTGTTGATGGGAGAAATTAAGCTTTTCAAAACTTCAAATCAACTGAACCAATTGCTTGGTAATGAAATAATGCTTTGGAAATTACTTTTGTGTATTTTCATTTAAAGCAATCAACAATATTCTGAAATACACGGATCTAAACTTTATCTTTTATCTTTTTTTTATTGAAGGAGTAAAGCAACATACATTAAAACAATGAAAGTTAAATTTTCCTTCCTTCTACTTTTACTATAACAACCCCCCCATCCCTTCACTAGACAGCTTAGTTGCAACAAAATAGCGTAGTGTCTTGCAAAATGAAACAATCTTATTACATCTTTTCAAGGCATAGACCCATTGCATACCACTACATAGTGATGATAATAATAGTATTATTATTACAATAATATTATTACAGTATGAATATATAAGAGAAAATTGTGAGACACATTACACCGAGATCAAAACATCAAATACATCATCACAAAAAGAATAAAGAAAAAGATACATATAAAAAGAGTAAAAGTCAACGGCTGGGTAATGCTTTCAGGTTTTTAAAATATGACAAAATGGGTTCCCATTTTGAGTAAAACCTGTCCACCGACCCCCTTCTTTTTCCATAAATGTCTTCAGTTGTGGTTATGTGACCAACTACAAAAATGCAAGATTTTGGTGTATTTTTTTATTAATAATACAAAAATAATTCAAAAGATAATGAGGTCAAACTTTCTATAGCTCTTGACAACTTACAGAGATGCTGTACTTGATCAATAGTACGCTAACCTAATTTTAAAAATTATTTTTAATGCATTATTAGCCTACTTTCATCGAATGACACAGTAATATCCCAGCAGTACGTTTCACCTACAGAACAGTGATGCTGTGTCGCCCTCTAGTGCTGCAGATGCGCTACAGCATCATGAACCATGAACAAAACATTAAAGGGATAGTTCACCCAAAAATGAAAATGTGATGTTTATCTACTTACCCCCAGGGCATCCAAGATGTAGGTGACTTTGTTTCTTCAGTAGAACACAAACGGAGATTTTTAACTCAAACCGTTGCAGTCTGTCAGTCTTATAATGGAGGTGAATAGGATTCACGGCTTTGAGAGTAAAAAAAAAACATACACAAACAAAACCAAATGAAACCCTGCAGCTCGTGACGATACATTGATGTGTAAAGACACAAAATGATCAGTCTGTGCAAGAAACTGAACAGTATATCGTTTTTTACCTCTGATTCACGCAATGTTCGAACCGTTCGAACTCTCCTGAGCGGCGGCGTGTCCTCCTGAGCGTGTTCTCAACAGCAGGCACGTGAGGCGTCGTCTTCTTGCTTTACGGCGGATCGCAGACTTATAAGTGCATTACCGCCACATGTCTCTCAAGTGGACCAATGACACTCCTAATTGAGATTGTAGATAGATATAGTATTTATATGTAGATATAAATACTGTTCAGTTTCTTGCACAGACTGATCGTTTTGTGTCTTTACACATCAATGTATCGTCACGAGCTGCAGGGTTTCATTTGGTTTTGTTTGTGTAGGTTTTTTTTCAAAGCCGTGATTCCTATTCACCTCCATTATAAGACTGACAGACTGCAACGGTTTGAGTTAAAACTCTTCGTTTGTGCTCCACTGAAGAAACAAAGTCACCTACATCTTGGATGCCCTGGGGGTAAGCAGATAAACATCACATTTTCATTTTTGGGTGAACTATCCCTTTAAATCCAAATAAAAATGAAGTTTCTAGCTTTTACATTTCTACGGTTCTAGAAATTTCTAGAACCAAATGCAAAAGTGCTAATTATAGCGCTACGACCCAGAATCGTCTCCATCTAAATTTATGGTCAGGAGCCTCTACTGATGAAGATACAAACTACAAGTTGTTATTCAGGAAATTAAAGGACATTATAAAAACAACAGCTTAGCTTGACATAGCATTTTATATGTCAGTATATCACATTGTGACAGTTTTATTCATATTTATAGCTCACGTTTTAAACAACTTGCAAACTGCTGACATTTTAAATTAAAGAAAAAGTAGAGAAGAATAAAATTCTGATAAAATCGTTAAATATGCTACAAGTGTAGCTAAAATCAACCAAATAAGATTTAAAACCGAATGAATTGCTTGAACTGACAAATACATACATTCAAAATGATGTCCATACACTGCTTGGTGATTATTCTATATCCGTACTTGAATACTACTGTTGACTGGAAAATGAAAGCACTGTTTATTTCATTTGTATCTCTGTTCTGTTGTATTTATCTGAGCTATTGCTTGTAATTTGGTCTCATTTAAGTACTGACTGGTTACTTGTGTTTTTAAATAATGTTTGAACTTTATAGGCCTATTACTAGTTTTGCTGTGATATGGAAACTGCAATCGACCACTAGAATTCAAGATTACATTCATTTAATAACAGCCTTCTTTGAAAAAGATTGCATTGACAAACATTTATAGTGCATTTTCTACGTGTTTATTGCTAAGTTTAGCACAGCAAAAATAGACTCACAAGTCCTTACAAGTAAGCGTGAGATGTATCGTCGCCATGACAACCTGACATGGTCTCTGCAATCATAAAATCACTTGAAAATTATACTTGGAGTTACATGAGTGTGATTATGTAGGTGTGATATGGAAAAGTTCAAATGTTAATTAAAAAGTTATTGATGACTGACCAAAGCAAGTGGCTCTGATTTTATTTTATTTTGATGCAACATACCATATATGTTAATGCATAAATAAAGCATGTCTTCATTAGAAAGCATCTGTATCATGATCCTCAGATCCAGTCAGACACAGTGATCTGACAGCAGGTGTTTGGGGATATAATCGTTTCCTGGCACTGCAATGACAGTGAAGGAGCAGGTCATGAGCTGAGAAAATAGACAAACAAGAAAACACCAGAAATGATTACAATATTTAAGAGCTCTCAACTTTCAATCACAGTAGTTGTTAAGAAAGCTATGTATAAGTATATTTACATATTAATAATTAACACATGCAAAAACTAATGAGAGATCAGTTCACAAATTCAATTACACAATTTGTTTACATGCAAATTACTTTTCATTTATGTATTTATTTGTTTTATACTTTTGTTGTTGTGTTGGACAAAGTGCAAATAGTACATATTAACATTGACACTGAGATGCATATTGCATATGCCTAAAATATATGTGCGTAACCAGAATTTCATAGTTTAAAAAAAAATCTATGTATAGATCATTTTTATTCATATTTAACTAAAAATACAATGCAAAAAATGATCTTAGATTCAATTACACATGAATTCATTTACATGCAAAATATTTTATTTAATTGGAGAAAATGCAAAAAACATATATTAACTAAACCACAATGCAAAAATGATCTATTTATGTAAATTTATGTAATCACACATGAATTCATTTACATTTTTATTTATTTTAAACTATTTTATTTTATTGACCAAAATGCAAATAGTGTATATTAACATTAACTTACATGCAAAATATTTTATTTCATTTATCTTATTTCATTAAACAGATGCAAATAGTATTTAACAATTTTTACATTGGGTTGCAAATTGCATATGCCTAAAATATGTGTGCTTAACCAGAAAATGTTGTGCTTATCACTGGTTTCAGGAAATAAAAATTCGATATTCCACTAAATGCATCACAAAACACAATGAAAATACAAACTCTGAACTCTCATCTAATTATTATTAGATGTTATTTCTCACCTCTGCATTAGACTGCAAAGCACAGTCTGTTAGATTCACACTGGCGTGATTCTCGCAGACCGTCTGCGCAGCTTGTATCTGCAGCATGTATTTAACCCGTGCAGGAGGATAGAGCTGCAACAAACACAATATCTCATCAAATACATCAGAGTAAAGGAGATGTACCTTATACGAGGATCTTGACTCTTACCTGAGCTGTGTCTGAGAAGATATCCACCACTTTAAAGGCATAAGGGTACCTACTCATGCGATTATGGACATCCATGGCAAAGTTGGCCACATTAATGACATTATGGTTGTAATCTAGTCTCACATTGTCTCCTGAGACAATAAAAGCTGAGAAAATGGATGCAAAAAGAGTGAGAATGCAAACCATCTTGGCAGGTTGTGAATCTGTGGGAACAAAAGCAAAGCCAAAATCATCTGGGTGTATCCGTATGAGGGTGGAAACATTGACAGCCATAAAATCCTGACAGTTTAACACACCTCTATTTACCTGCTGCATAAGAGCTTCTCGTGTTTCTGCATCCTGCTGATGGACAGACGCACATGCTTGACTCATCAAATGCAGATGATCACAGAAAATCCATCTCATATTCTCATGTTCTTCACTACAGCTGCACTGATGTGTTTACATCATCTTTCAGGTCATATGACCAGACCAGCTGCATGCATCAGGACCCGACACTGAGCAGTCCACATTATCTCCTGCTTAAAAAGACTTAAGGAACTATTCTTTTTGGTTTTAGATGGTCTAAGTTGGTTCTGAGCACTTTAAACTATCAATCCAAACCAGTCTGACTAGCATGACCGTGCACATGAACCACTTCAAGCTGGTTTGAACAGCAGGAAAGTGTTAATATTTGATAGAAATGATCCACGTTTGCATGCTGTGTTAACATGAACAACATGTGAAACTGAAGTGCACTGCTGTTTTGTCTTTGAAAACAACTTCCTTGACTTTGCACTCGGCATTGAGAGTTTTTGTTAACCCTTTGTTTGTCTTCTGATTTCCATGAGCGTCTTGTGTGCACAAAATGATCATTCTTGGGACTGAGGAGCTCAAACAAGCTGAAAGTGTTTTGAAGCAGAGTTTTCCCGAGTCCATCAAGGTGTGCTGATTCTAGAAAGGTTTACGTACTTTACTTTTGACTGAAAAGGTTAAACTATCGGATTACCACAGCTTTTATTTTCACTCTCTCAAGAGCCACTGGGTAACTAACAGCTGTTTAATTCACTTGTTTTCCAGGTTTATGGCTGCATATTCAACATAAACAGAGGGAAACCTCACAATCTGGAGGTTATTGCAGATCAGTGGCCAGATTTCACTGTCATTATGTACAATTTTACTGTGCACTGCAAAAAAAATCTGTGACTTTTACGGTAAAATACCGGCAGCTGTGTTTGCCAGAACTTCACCGTAAAAAATATGGTAGCAACATTTTAGGTTTTACAGATTTAATTTAAATTCACAATAAAATACCGTATTTCAATAACTGATGTAATGTTAATAAACCAACATATTGAAGTGTTAATATCTGTTTTGAACCATTGTAATGCACTAATAACCACCAAAAACTGGTGGTGATGAGAAAGTCACGTGATGAACCAAAACTCATCATAAACAGCTTTTCTACGAGCTGAGGAGGACAATACTTATACACAGAATAAGTTGATTTAACAACATTAGATGTAAGATTAAACCCTAATGTACACATCTGATATAATATCTGTTTTGAACCACTGAAATGCACTGATAACCACCAAAAACTGGTGGTGATGAGAAAGTCACGTGATGAACCAAAGCTCATCATAAACAGCTTTTCTACGAGCTGAGGAGGACAATACTTATACACAGAATAAGTTGATTTAACAACATTAGATGTAAGATTAAACCCTAATGTACACATCTGATAAGAAAAAACGAAGAAGAAATGTTATTTCAACAAAAAAAACATCAAATATGAAGTGTCATGCAGGGAATTCTGGGAGTGTCAATTTACGGTTTTTCACTGTAAATTATACAATGACTTTTTCTTTTTCACTTCCAAAAACCGTATTTTTAACAGTATTTTACTGTAAAATTACATTAAATGTAATTACATTTATTCACCGAATATAGTATGGAAACTTACTGTTAACCAGTTAACAGGTTTTTACTGTAGCATTTTTACTTTTAAAATCACAATCATTTTTTACAGTGTATATACAGTATATATATATATATATGTATTTTTTTTTATCAGGGCACAAAGGATCGAGAAGGAGATTTCAACATATACAGCATCTACTCAACGAGCAAAGACAGCCTGAAAAACTTTCTGAACACACCTGGTGTGATCAATAAAGATGCATTCACATTATTAGCAGGTACACACTCTATTCCTCATCAAATTCATTGCCTGAAATAACTAGTTTTGAGACTGTGACTGAATGAACCATGCACAAACCTGTTGGCCGCAATAAAGGGGTTGACATCAGGCATTTAGAAGCAGTTCAGGAGTTTGCAGATCAGCATGGACTTCCGTGGAAAGTTCAAGGAGTGATGAAGGTCTTACTGCTGCAGGATGAAGGACAGCTGCAGCTTAAAGAGAGGTAGGGGAGAGCGGGGCACAAAGTAACACTTTTTGACTTTCTCAAATTATGTAAATCCACATGGGGTTCAGAGTAAAAAAATTTTTTATTAAAATGTCAACTCGCACATCATTAAAACAACAGTTAGTATATTAGTACACAATAAATATCGCACACTCCTCGCTCATTTACTTTCTCCATGCGAAGCTGTCCAGTGCGTCACAGTGTCGTTTAATATTGCACACATTTACCACAGCCACGAGTTGTGATTAAACATACCTGTCGGCGTTGAGATTAGGGGAGAGCGGGGCACAAAGTAACACTTTTTGACTTTCTCAAATTATGTAAATCCACATGGGGTTCAGAGTATTATTTTTTTTATCCACAGTAATTTCACATTTGTGTAGTACAAATATGTCACTTTGTTTCATAATTACAGTGTAAACGTTATTCTTTATTTACCCTCAAATATTGGAAGTGAAATGTGACAACATGCCCCGTAGGTGGGGTACATTGTAACATCTGAGGGGCACGTCGTAACATATAACAGCTTAAAATGTTATCTGATCGAATGAAAAAAATATACAAGACAAACTAAAATATTTTGTCAATAAAATAAAATAATTATTTATTTCAAATAAAATAATGGCGTTTTTTAAGAATTAAAAATAATCTGATTTTGGAGTTTGACAATGAACACATTGCAACCATGCTTGGGACGGCCCACATAAACGAGCCAAAATGCTTTACATGTCTTGAAATCATAATTTCTTAATATTAAACATTGACTGTCAGTCCTTATTCACCTGTTTCTCGTCGTTTATCATTAAAATGTATTAAAGTAAATAGTGTGATTTACATAGAATAGCACATTGTAACACAGCGTTACAACATACCCCATCTGACAACTGACATTTAAAACTGGTTACTGTCTTCTGATAGTTAGCGAAGCATTAAAAAATAATTTAAACTGACAAATAACAGATTTAAGATTAAAATAATAGCAGATTTGTCTCATTTTAAATGAGTAGTAAAAACTGAGATGAAAAATTTACTTAAGCCAGAAATATAATTTTACTATGGTTAAAATAAATGTTTAGCGATATCTTCTAAAGACTTTTGAATTTTGCCGCACTTTTTTTCTCTATATAATGTTGATATAGTAACTAGTAAATGCTGTAAATTTGGTTATGCTAGCATGTGTGGAAATATTTAAACCACGTGTGCTACAACTTACCACGCGCTCCCCTACTTACTCTTAAACGCCAAATATTATCTTTTCCAACACAGAATGTAAGCTTTTACCTTGAAATATCAGTTTCAAAATTATTCTGATGACATACACTTGCTTCTAAATAAGGCAAATGGCTCTTGTTTCTTTGACAAACGGAAGTTCGCTGAGCGGGTACGAAATACCGCGAAAATAGCAGATTGCTTTACGGCAGCAATAAATGCACGTCTAAAGATAAGGACTACGCTGAATAAACTGCTTTTGTGGAAAAACAGCTTATCGTTTAATGAATCTACAGCATATTGGCTAATATTCAACATGTTTGCCATTAAACATTTGTTTTTGGATTGATCTGTTGTTAAGAGTTTATGGACACGGACAATTTTGCGACAGGTTTTCAGTACTTTTCATTCATTTCTATGATAACAACCTGATTGTTCTGAGATAAACACTCCATTCATAGATGTAAGTATTTAAAGGTGAAACCCCATTTCAACAGATGGAAGATTGATTTGAAGTTATTTGTAAATCTCTTCAATGACGGAGAGAAATGCCCTGAAACTTCTTTTCGTTTTAGACTTAATTGTTTTCATTTCTTGAATGAGACGCTCGCCTTTCCATCTTTTTATTTATTTTTCTATTCAATTACTATTGATTTTTTTATATATATAATTTGCTTTATTAAAAGGCTGTATCAACACGAAAAACATTTGTAGGGTAGTTGACATATGCCATAAATGTTTGTATTTGAATTCTGTTTGAGCATTAAAAAATTAAAAATTTAAATTCTATGGTATCCGCAAACAGCTGTCGCGTAACTATGACAGAAATTCAATGACGTCAAGGCTGTAATGTGATTGGTTATCAAAGCACACCTGATCAAAGTTGGCCTTTAAGCTGCTGACCCCAATAATAAGAGCAGCCTAAGGTAATATGATAAGCTATATCATAAGAGTACCGCTATCACTGTTATTACAACAGTGTCAATTCCACTCACTTATCTGAAGGGGGCTCTAAAGTCGCAAATATACGTAGAACTACTACATAGTTTCTTTAATATCCCAAAACATGTCCATGCAGCATAAACAAAAACATTATCCCATTGTTATAATTTTCATTTATTTATATGAGTTTTGCGGCTTTTGCAGGGTTTGAAATTTTTTTTAACTAAACAGCACATTTTATTTGCTTTAAAGGGGTCATAGGATGCTACATGCACTTTTACAAGTTGTTTGAACTGAAATGTGTGTTGGTAGTGTGTACACAACCACCCTATACTGATAAAAATCCACCCAGTGGTTTTTTTTTAATCTGGTTAAATGTTTTCCCCTTTCACAAA